CAGTTAATAAAAAAACTTCAGTACTTAAAGGTAATTGGTTATAGTTAATTAACAAGCTTGTCAGACGTTCCAAGTCTCACGTGTTGACAGTTCCTCATTCTAGTTTTGAAATAATCCTTAATGTCATATATATTCCTCCAAATTATGCAAATCAAAATCAAAACCGAAGTACCTGTTAAGCTTACTTTGCACTGAGCTATCCACCAATATAGAATCAAAGGAGGCGACAATATATAGCTCCTTCTGGAAAGTTGTATGGCCACTTGCATCTGCGATTTACTTGTGTTATATTCGTTGGAGCAAACATTAACATTTGAGATTTTCTCTTTCTAAGACCTTCCTTCTGCTCCTTATTTACCATGATTTTAACACCAGGAAATTCGAGATCTAAAGTAGCCTTGCGTTTTCTGTCATTCTCGTATACTTCCTTGCTGAGTAACATGTTTAGATGCTTCTAGAATAACATATGCACAATAGTAATAAAAAAGAAATACGGAAACAATTCTACGGACCGGTTGATTTCCTTCCTAAGACCTCTTATGAAACTAGATAAGAAATAAGCTTCAGAAGATATTGGACCAATTCTCGATTTGTGCGTGTCATCCTTTCACAAGGATCATGTTAATCTTCTCTGTATCGTTGTACCCGAAGGGACACTCTCATATTGAGCTTTTACAATATAAACCGTGGAATGCTTCAGCAATTGGTCGGTATGGGATAGGGGTGTCAATTTGAGCCCAAATCCATCTAACCCGCCCAACTAACCCAGAGATTAATGGGTTGGGCTACAAACATTTTAGCTCATGGGTCAATTTGCATTGAGCCCAAGTTAACCTATTATTTTTTATAGCTCATTCTGACTCATTTAACAGCCCAAATACAACCCATGAAACACACCCAAAACAAAGGATCTCAACCAAACTTATCTACAAATTTACTTAGTTGCCCCAATTTTTTATTTTTTTTTGTACTTTTAATTTTCTGTTCTTTTGTTTTTCTACACCACTCACCCACCCTACCCCTNTTTTTATATTTTTTCGTTTTTCTGCACCACCCACCCCAACCCCGCCCTCCCCTACCCATAAAATATTTGTTAACTCACATATTTTAAAGTAAAAGGTTTTTATATTTAAGATGAGCATGGTTCTAAAACATAGGTTAAGTTAGGCGGGTTGGGTTATGACTCATTGTTTAGCCCATCTTGGCCCAGTCCATCTTAACCCAAATACACATTGGGTTGGGTTGGGCAATGACCCATTTATTGACCTAACCCATCTTCGGGGGCGGATCCAGAATTTTCATTAAGGAGTGTCAAAATATAAATAATTAGATACATTGAAAAGTTAAGGGGAGTCAACATATATTAAATATACATAAAATAAAAAAAATTATCAAGTAAAATAGTGTAATTTTCCAGCGAAGAGGTGTCGCTTGACACCCCTTGCTTCAATGTGGCTCCGCCACTGCCCATCTTGACCCACCCAAATTCAGCCCAACACGCCCATTTGTCACCCCTAGTATGGGACTCGAGAACCGGAAAATGGTCTTCTATTTACTCATTTTGTAAGGGGCATTTGCATCTATACCCGCTTTTTGGGTCACATTTTAACTTATATCCGCTTTGCAAAAAAAATTACAAGTGAACCCACTTTTCGCGTAACTTTAGGCATACGGGCCTGAAGTAGCAAAGGCAATCACGCAAACTTCAGCATTCTAGTAGACGGGCCTGAAGTAGCAAAAACTGTTGAACCAAGTGTTGGCTGGAGTTTTTGTTTGTAATTGCTGAACTTAAGCATTCTAGTAGCTGAAGTTTTGTTCTTTATTTGCTGAACTTCAGCATGTTTTAGCTGAAGTTTTGTTCTATATTTGTTGAACCTCAGCATGTTTTAGCTTAAGCTTTGTTATGTTTGTGATGAACTTCAGGGCTGAAGTTTGTTTTGTATTTGCTGAACTTCAGCATTCTAGGAGCTGAAGTTTTTGTTTATATTTGCTGAACTTCAGCATTATTAGAGTTGAAGTTCTAAAACAACAATGACAAGTTGTCATTAAGATCCAGTTGCTATAATGGAATTATCAGGAAATTTGAAAAACAATACTCCAATAAAACAAGACCATTAGTAAAAGTAACATCTTCACCTAAAGCACAGGGAATCAAGTCGTGCTTTCATGTTTCAGTAGCAATTAATATTAGAATTTCCGAACTGGACGGTCCAGAAGCTAATTCCTAGTTGTAAAGAGTTAAAATAGCATATATAATTTAGACTAGAACACATAATAATATCTCAATCTTCAGCATTCAGAAAATAAAGGAGGAGGGGGAGAAAGAGGCCTGAAGTTGTTTAAACAGTGGGTATAAGTTATAACTTTTTAAAAAAGTAAGTATAGGTTAAATGGGGCCGACCAAATAGGGTGTTTGCGCAATTATTTCGTTTAGTTGAGCCCTTTCTCTAAAAGCCCATGACGAAATGGGCTACTTGTGGACTATAATACGATGAAACACTTTATTTTCTCATGGCAAGTGCCTGCTTAAATTTTTATTTTATTTTGAGAAACTTTCAAAAATCATTATGTTTTAGTGGTTATTAGCTACTTGTAGCTACCATTTACTAAATTACTTCCTATAGCTATGTTTTCAAGTTTTTTAGAGTGTATTCGATGTATTTAAGCTATTGTATTCATGAATACAATAGCATTTCTCGGCGTGAAATATGGGATTACAACTAGACAGATTATTGTATTCGACTGTATTCCCAGTGTGAAACAGGGGATTACAGCTAGACAGATTATCGTATTCGACTGTATTCACGATATGTATTTGTGAATACAGTAACGTAAACGGCGCAATTCATGATCTATTCAGCTGTTTTTAAACGGAAAGTGAATCAATTAACACAATAGACTCCTAATATAACTCAACAAACACAATTATAAATCTGAATACATAAAATACATAAATTATATTAATTAAAAAAACATATGAATACATTGATGGAATATAGCGAGACAGTGAATACATTGAAATATATGAAATACAGCGAGATACAATGAAATACATAAAATACAACGAAATACATTGAAATACAACAACAAAAATAGGTAACAGACACTTCAAGTTGCTTAGCCCCAAACTCTGTCCTCTTTGTTCAAGAATAACCCTAATGTGATCATCTCGTCAAGAGGGCCGCGATTCTGACTCGAAACTCTCAAAATTTGGCGCAAAAACGAAAGAAATTCCTTATTTTCAATAGCAGATTGTCTTCTTTTGTTAGTAATTGCGAATTTGGTAGATGAAGAAAAGCAGCAATGGAGGTGGTGAGAGAAACGGACGGCGGGTTCTACCATCAGCATTTTCGGAATTTCAGCAACTAAGGAATTGAATTAGGGAGAGAGATCAGTGAAATAGAAGCAAAAAGTGTTGGGTTTTCAATAATCTTTTTCGTCCATCTCTCTTCGTGATTAGGACGTGTGGTTCTCTAAAACGAGAGAAAAATAATACAAAGAATATTTTATGGCTCAAGGGTAGGAGTAACTATAAATAGATATTTGAGTATAAAAATCAAAATGTAGCTATGAAATATAATTTTTTTAAAATGGTATTTATTTAAAATAAATAAGAAATCAACCTTTGCTATATGAGGTAAAAATTCCTTTTATTTTTAGAGATAAAATGACTTTTTTAAGTCATGAAAATACACTTAATGTTACTAGCTCTACCAAGTATAAAGGCGACAAATCGGCAGATCATCCACCTTTCGCTAGGATTTGGGAAGGACATTTATGAGACTAAGGTGAAATTTACGCTAGCCTTGCATCTGTTATTGGGGCTTTGATTAATTAAGAACTTCCACCTATACATAACGTCTCAATATTTTAGTCGTACAGGCTGAAATATTTTAGTCGTACAGGCTGAAAGGCGCAAGATGTTACTACATATTTGCAGCCTCTCTGCTCTATCGGAGTAGGGGGTAAGGTCTGCGTACACACTACCCTCCCCAAACCCCACTTAGTGGGACTTTACTGGGTCGTTGTTGTTGTTTCACCATTTTAACTACTCCATTCTCGATTACAACAGCAGCCCAGCAAAATCCCACAAGTGGGGTCAGCAAAATCTTACCCCTACCCCATAGGGCAAAAAGGTTGTTTCCGATAACGCTCCATCCTCGATTAATAAAGTAAAACTAAATGGCAGACATAGGACAAGGAAACAGAACTATAACTACAAGTACACCGAACCTTAAAATTTAGAGAACTAGTACGATAAAAACAGAAAACAGCTAATGTTAACCCATGACCATGTTTTATATTACAATAGTCCATCAGTTCAAACTGAGATAACAAAAAGAAAGAAAACACGAGCAGAACAGACATAACCGTAAGGTTCTAATCTACTATAGTTTTGCATATGTAGCCAATCCTCTATATCAAGATATTGCAGATACTTTTCCCATCCCAAAACCTCCAAAAAGACCAGCAGATGGTGATAACGAAGAGCAAACCGTCAATGAGGACTGCAAAGAGGGGGAAAAACAACAGTCAAATAAGGGAAAATCACCAAAGAAACCAGGTTAGTAGCATTTTTATAGTAGGAAGCTGGCAAAAAATACAACCCGACCACAGAAAGCTTTTCTAAATCTTTTCTCCGCTAGTCACCTATTATCATCATGACCAGCAACTGTATGTCATGGTATATCCACAACGGCCATAAAATGACAAGTCATATCTCGTTGTTTAGTAGCAACAGCTCAAAGCCTCAAACACCAACTCTCTACCAAAAGGGTGCTGATTTGAGCTGCTATGTAATAGTATATCCATAACGGCCCTTCGAACCACCAAAAAAGGAGAGCTGTATGTGTACATGAAGGAACAAATGCATATAGAGTACTAAAATATCGAAAGGATGTGCATTGTACAGGCTAGTTCAATTTAATGTTTCACAGACCTGTAGGACCTAGAGCGAGATCTGGCTGAGCTGTCTACATTTCTACCAGATCTCTCGAGCCTCCTTCGGGCAGAGTCCAAATCATGAACAATCAGTCTATTATCTCTTGGACTCGGGCTGGGCCTACCTTTTTTCTGAATGCGTGGAGTATTTGACCTGGACATTTGCCGGGATTGTCTAGAAGATCTTCCATTCAACCTATAATTTCTTTCATCCCTTGGAGAAACAGACGGAGATTTTGACCTGCATCTCCTTGGAGAATAGTAATCATCCCGATTCTCACGATCCCTGTCCCTGTGAACCATAGTGCACTTAAGCCGCTTAATGATAAGTTCAATGTAGTTTTTGCAGCAACCCATGAAGTTGAAAACAGTACAAACAAGTAAAAAGACTAGCACTGGTTTTCAAATGACTGCTTATTCCAACTCACAATGCCACACTACTCAAAAATAAGGCTGATACTAAAACAAACCATGAAAGGTAGATTCCTTCAATATCTAATCTACTGAACCACAACCTTTACCTGTATCCTTATTTCATAGTCTGGAAAAAACTACAGTTTGATCCAGACTGTTTAAGCACTATATGGTACGGTTCTTCAGCATCTGATCACTTCAAAGTTCTTCTTTGCCCCAAATCTTGAGATAGCTTTCCTTGGGCATTCTCATGAAATGCCAATCAGTAAAAACTTCAAAAATATTTGCCCCTTTGAAGGTGAATTCTTTCTTTGGCCAACTGTAAGCTCTAAATTTTCTCTCTAACTGGATATTGTGCAACATTAAGAAATAAAACATGAATTTAAAGATAAGCAAATGAAGGTCTTTGTGACAGAAATATGTCCACACCACTTCAATTGGTTCTCCGAGGTACAATAGAAGGCTCATCCTTACTAGAAAAAAATCCAGAAAAGGAAAATCACATGAACTTTGATGATGGTGATTTGAAACTTCCGGAGATTCATCACATTTCATGAGCAAGTAATCTTTGACTTTATGGTCCCTTTTCTCAATTGTCTATATTAGGCCAGAATTCTTTAAGTCTCTTTCTCAATTTAGCATCTGCATTAATAAAGCCACCAGCAGATGTCATTCAATAATCTACAGGATAGATGACATATGCCTGCAAGACATTTGACATAATCTATAATCGTGTGTCCCAAATAAGTATTCAACAAAATTAGAAAGCTAAAGAACCTAATAAGCCACCACAACTCAAGGGACGGAGAAAGCCTCAGTATTCCAGGACAAGAGATAACAGATAAATTAAATAGAGAAAAAAATAATTCCTAAAATCAGGTGGATAGTGTGAGGCAACCACCACTTTGGCAGATATAAATATGCCACATCACTATCCTAAGTTCCTAACCTCCAAGGAGAAAAAAGCAAACATAAAACAATCAGATACCAACCAAGGAGTGTTTTGAGCCAATAAAGGTGATAACAAACAAAAAATAGGCAAGAAAAATAGATAAAGCAACAATACAAAGCGCCTTGATGATTCAAGGCAAAAAACTGCAATTTTACAAAGAGCTCATTGACGAAGGACATGCACCATAATGCTGAAAAGGAATCAAACAGATCAACGAGCAAAGTCTCTCTTTTGAGCAACATTTATCTCTAAATATAGGGAAAATGACCAATTTTGTCTTGATAGTTGAATTGTGCATGTTAGGCAATGAAATTGCTGCTACTATGACTACAGGCTACAGATTTGTTTTATCCCAATAGATGTTCTTACTAGATTTTGTCCCATTAGAATCAGTAGCAGCCCTTGCTCAAAGACAAACAAACAATAGGAGAATACAAGCAAAACTTCTGTTATGAAATACAAACCTTGAGTCACGTCGTGCTGGGGAAGCCGAGCGCGAGTAAGCTGCCATAGAAAATTCTAGACCATTACTCTTAAAGGAAGACAATGCTCTCGACTCTAACAGTACTAAGTTTACTTCTTCTCTTTTTCCTTTTTAATTTTGGAGGGGTGGGGGCCTCAATGCAATATCATATAAATCAGCATCAGAAGCTAAATGAGTCATTGAGAAACTAAACAGTTACACTTTTAGTAAGAGAGTTAAAATTCAAACTGACAGTGATATCTGCGACTTGGGAACCTTTGTGGACTGTGTCTCCTGTAGCTGCCTCGAGCACTAGGTCCACTAGTTAAACAGGAAAAGTAGTAGACTTAGATTCACTGTGGGTGAATAATACTTGAGCTGGAAAAGAGATTGATAATCAACATGATTGCAACTCGAAGCAAACCACATATATGTAGCACCTTGTGCGTAAAACCCTATTCATTTCTTGAGGGGTCTTTCGATTCTCCTCCGCAAAAACAATACTAATTTCACGTCCACCAATAACTGTACAGTTTAAGTGTGCTTTTGCTTCAGCTGCATCTTCGGCATAACGGAACTTCACAAAGCCAAATCCTCGTGGTTCCCTACATATAAGTTGAAATTATTTTTGGAAAAAAAAAATGATAAAATGTCACAGTGAACTTACTTATATTGCCGATACCTAGTCCAACACTTAGATAAAGGAGGGGTACAATACGTCGACAGACAACAGTCAACGTAAAACTTGTCGATTTATGGAAGTGAGGTTGCTTGATGTGATTAGGTTATTTCTTACATAGACGTCCAGGAGCATCGGCTAAAAAGTGTGAAAAATGATCGTTGAAGATGTTAAAACAGAATGAGGTAGAATCAAAGCCACATGGAATGCAATTGTCTTGAAGAATCTACAATCTCTTGAAATTCATGCAAACTTAGAGACAAATAGAGCATACAGAAAGAAAAAGATCACACATATAGACGATACAAACTAGTTGAGATTAAGGCTTAGTCTTTTTGATATGCTCACTTGGTCTAATATTTGCTAGAGGAGTTTTTCAATCATTGTGGGAGATTTGTATGACGATAAAAAATGTAGAGGACTTCTAGTATTAGAGCCTAATTTATTCCATATTGGAATGAGACAACTAGATGAAGCAAAATGGATAGTGAAGATTCATATTACCGACCCTAACTAGCTTGGAACTGAGTCCAAGTTGGGTTGTTATTGATCATAGTGATATTAACAAATAGCAGGACATGGAAACAGACCCATATTGCAGAATACAGTACCAAGTGAGAAGCCATATTATCAAGGCATATGCATACCCAGTATAGTAATTCTTGGGCAGATAGACATCTTTTACAGGACCAAAACGTTCAAAGGGGACCCTGACATCTTCTGGCCTGCAGAACAAGCACAAAATGATTAACTTTATCCACAACTATAGCAACATCTGCTTAGAGACTGAGAAAGAGAGGAAGACAGAGAGAGAAAGCAATCTTCAGTTTATGAAATAGAAATGGAAAACAAATCAACCCAACTTTTAGAAAGATGGAAAGCTTCAACTTTTATTAAGCCATATTAACTGACAGGCAGAAACCACTGTATAAATTGTGCAATCTGCATATCATTTCTTTTTACTAGCTATATTATTTCAAAAGGTTTTTAAAGCCATCTGAAATATAAGAAACCATAAAGCCCACATGTATCAATGTTTGTAGATAAGGAAGATAGCTTATTGCATAGCATCATAATTCAACCTCTCCATCAGAGATAAGACATCTGCTAGTGCTCCAAGGAGCAAGTCTAGGTGTAAGGATTTGGATGTGTTTGAACATGTAAGAAACTTGTTACTAGTGTAAAACATGATCATTGAAAAAAGAATCAAAATAAAAAGTGTCCATTATCTAATGGATAGGAAGGAAAATCAAATAAGTGAGATCTCACGTTAAGTGTTTACATAAATCTTCTTGTGCTGAATAGTTGATTGATAGATCAATCAATCCTTAATTTAATTATCTTTTGCAAATACAAGCCGGAAAAAATGAAACTCAAACAACTCATTGATATGATGTTCATTAAATACAATATAGCATTGAGGTGTCCATACAATGTTCATGTGCCAATTGATCCAATTTCCTTGGAGAACATTCATGAAGCTAGTCCCTGAAAATGATGAGAATAAAAAGGTATTGATGGATAATGTAATTCAAATTCGATTGATGTTGCTGAGACAAGTTCAGGAGGACTTCTATGGTGTGAGGGGAGCTCAAGTTAATGACTCTTTCCATTTTGAGACATTCCAAAATGTTAGACAACATTTCATTCAGCGTCATTAAAATCCATTACTTTGTTGCTTAAAGCGGTGAAAAGTGATAAAAAGTGAAGGCTTGTCACTTTATGAGTGAAGCCATACGCTTCAAAGAACTGTGCACTTCAAAATATGACGCGCAAAGAGATTGCAACAACAAGCGGTCAGTTATTTGAATCTCGGCCTTTTCAATTCAATCTCCCACTTGGTTTCGGACAGTCAAATATAAAGACTCTTTGTTAGCTCTTCGTACCTACTTGACTTCTCAAACTGAAGTAAGACTGTCCAACTAGAGTATAGCCGGGAGGAGCTCTTTTTGTATTGAAAGTGTTTTCAAATAGCAATCCATCGTGTCGGTAATAAGACTTATAGTAAACGAACGATTCAGCTTCTTACAGAAGGCAGTTCAGCTTAATAACTCGATAAGCTGTATTGAACTTTCAGAAGTTAGACTAGCATCGACGTTATTGCATACCTGATGTTGCAAATAGTTATGCCAGTTGCAATTTGATTATTATAATACTATATATAAGTTTGATAAAAAATTTATTTCATAAATTGTTGGCTTCACTTCTAGAAAGCGTGCGCTTTATTTCTCGCTTTGTGCTTCAAATCCTACGTACCCCGCGGCTTTTGTGAGATTTTCGCTTTCAAAACCTCCAGTTCTACTAATAGTAATATCCAATACAACTTTTATAACTTTCGAAAATCCCAGTTTATTTTTGTTATTGATTTTAATATGAAATTTCCTCTACAACAACAACAAACCCATTATAATCCCACAAGTGGGGTCTGGGTAGGGTAGTGTGTGCGCAGACCTTACCTCTACCTTGAAGCTAGAGAGGTTGTTTCAGACTTGAAATTTCCTCTATTAAGCTGATTTTTTAACCAATAATATTAATATCAGACTAATTCCACAAAGGAACATACACTCTTGAGTTTAAGTAGGAGAATTCACGAATCGAAGCAACACCTAAATATATTACATATGAAAACATAAATTATGATATCCCCCAAAAAGGTAGTATGAGGACCCAAAACCCTCAATGCAAAATCAAATTGAGGTCGACAAAGGCATGAACAAATTAATTGGGCTGCAGGCAAGAGGTGCACTGTTAATCGACATGCCTAGGGTGCTACCTGCTAAGCACAAATGTCATAAGAACAGCTCAAAACACCACTCAAACAACTGGTAAAAATCAGAAATAGCCATTTTCAGCCGCTGTAATTGAAAAATTGCCACTTTCATGGAGTTTGTGGAACTCCAGTACAGCTGCTATTTTTCAAAGACTGGACCAAAATGTGGTCAGTGGGCGCTCTCTCTACCTCAAACAACAAAAAGTTCTATAAAGCATCTAATAAGCATTAAAATCAGGTAAATGCATGTTAAATATTTCAATAACAAAATTGATAACAAAAAAAAAAAATCAATAACGAAATTGATTTTGCAACAAAAGATAACCCTAACTTGCGCGTATGTGTTTATAAAAAATGACTGATACCTGGCGCTAAGGGAGATGTTACGAACAAGAAGGCCAGAAGGTGCGGGAGAGCGACGGTCGTGGCGACGGTCACGTGGTTCGTCGTAGCGTTTACGTCGCACGGGGCTGTAACTCCTGCTACGGCTTCTGTGCCTTCCCATTACCCACGTCGTCGTCTGATCACCGTGAAGGGAGAATCTAAAAACCTAGTTCGATTTCCTTGGAATTGAAATTGAGAACCCTAGCCCTAATTGGAGGTAATAACTTCTCGGCTCTCCGTGCTGATTTGGAGGTGGATTGACGTGACCTTTTAATAATAATAATAATAATAATAATAATAATAATAATAATAATAATAATAATAATAATAATAATAATAATAATAATAATAATAATAATAAATATCTATATCTATCTATACTTATACTTACTATATTAAAGGGGTTTTGACACAACAACAACAACAACAACAACAACCCAATAAAATCCTACAAGTGGGGTTTGGGAGGGTACTATATATGCACACCTTACCCCTACCCCAAAAGAGTAGAGAGGTTGTTTCCGGAAGACCCTCGGCTCAAGATAATAAGAAAAACAAAAATGAGAGAATATTAGTTTCTCCACAGAGATCATAGGAAAAATAGGAACATAAAATGCAGAAGTAAAAATGCAAAACAAAAATGATGGCTAGTAAATAGGTCTTGCATCGAAAAGAGAAAATAGTAAGACACAACAACGCCCCTAGCTATTTCAAACAAAAATCCTATCAGACTATGCTCACAACAGTACAAGGTAATGCAAGACTCAACTACCTCCTAGCCTACAACCGTAATACTCGACCTCCACAACTTCCTATCAAGTGTCATGTCCTCGAAAATCTGAAGCCTCGTCATATCCTGTCTGATCACTTCTCCCCAATACTTCTTAGGCCGCCCTCTACCTCTTCTCGTGCCCTCCACAACCAGTCGCTCACACCTCCTTACTGGAGCATCTGGCTTCTCCTCTGTACATGTCCAAACTATTTGAGTCTCTCTTCGTGCATCTTGTCATCAATGGGAACCACGTGCACCTTCTCCCGAATATCATCATTCTTGATCTTGTTCATCCTAGTGTGCCCGCACGTCCACCTCAACATCCTCATTTCTGGTACTTTCATCTTTTGGATATGTGAGTTTTTAACAGGCCAGCACTCAGCCCCATATATCATGGCCGGTCTAACCACCGCTTTATAGACCTTACCTTTGAGTATCGTTGGCACTCTCCTGTCACACAAAACTCTGGATGCTAACCTCCACTTCATCCATCCTACCCCAATATGGTGTGCGACATCCTCATCGATCTCCCCTCCCCCGTGGATAACCGACCCAAGGTACTTGAAACTGCCTTTACTTGGGGATAACCTGTGATTCAAGCCTCACATCCACGCCTACTTCCTCCGGCTCAGTGCTGAACTTACACTATTTAGCTTTGTCTACCCATTTATTTTTCTATCCATAAACTAATTACATTTCCTACCCATAGTAGTTTTTGTGAGGATTTTTTCTTTATTCTCCAATTCTTTTTTATTTCTATGCTTCTTTTCTTTCATTCTTTTTTCTTTTTTTTCTTTTCTCCTTTTCTTCTTATTTTTTTCTTTTTTCCTTTTCTAATTTCATTTAACTTTTTTTTATATTCATTTTCTCTTCATAATCTAATTTCATTTACTATTTTCACTATTTTTTATTTTTTATTTTTATATTATTACTAAAAAAAATTAAATTGCGTAACAATTAAAGGTAGCTAATACAACAAAAAAATATTAACTAACATATCATACCAGTATAGTATATAGCTATACCAGCAAGGTATACAATTATACGCAAAGAGTTAAAAAAAATTAATTCAATTATTAAACTGAAATAATATTAGTTGTCAATAAAAATTTTAAAAAATTCTAAAATGATCTAATTATAAGAGTATACCGTTACATTATATAGCATACTATAATTTTTTATGCTTTATTTTTCATTTTCAATTTGCCCCTCACGCTGGGTAAAAACTTAAAGCAAATTAAAAGGAAAAGGGCAAGTGAATTTATGAGTAATAAGTATAATACTATAGTATATTGTATACTATTACAACATATTGTTACAGTATATTGCATATTATTACAGTATACTATAACAATATATTGTATACTATAATAGTATAGTGTTGCAGTATAACTATATACTCATATAGTATATTATATACTATTACAACATATTGTTACAGTATATTGCATATTATTACAGTATACTATAACAATATATTGTATACTATAATAGTATAGTGTTGCAGTATAACTATATACTCATATAGTATATTATATACTATTACAACATATTGTTACAGTATATTGCATATTATAACAATATATTATATACTATAATAGTATAGTGTTGCAGTATAACTATATACTCCTATAATATAATGTATACTGTAGTGGTATACTGTTAGGTAACTGTGTTCTTCTTTGATTATTACAATATACCATTGCAGTATATTGTAAACTATAATAGTATACTATTGCAGTATAGCTATATACTCCTACAACATATTGTATACTGTAGCAGTATACTATTGGGCAGCTGTGTTCTTTTTCGATTTTCAGCTAAAATTTCCAACTCAATCACCTCAAATCAGCTCCAAATGCTATCAAATTTCAGTATGAACTTCCAGAAGGTATAATATTTGACAACACCCACTTTGAATCAAACAAGAAATCTACAAAATAAAAATTTTAAGCCAAGGCAAGAGCAAGAGCTAGAGAAAGAACAATCAAGAAAAAGTGGAGCAGAATTGAAACTAGTCAGAGCTCAACTTCTCAGATAATCAGATCTAATTTCCTTTTGAAGAAGGATATAAGGGAAATGGAAGAAAAATTTTGTAAGAATAAATTACAAGTAAGTCAAGAAATAACAAACAAGAAAATAATTCAAGGATCTGGAGTTAGTAAAATGAAGACCAAGTCTTCTTTAATCTTGGGTCTTCACCCAAATTTCTTTGCTCCTATAGAGTCATTAACTACCTACTAGGGGTAACCTGAAGTTGTGCCCTCGTCCAAATTCTTAGTGTATAAAGGTAATATAGCTTCTCATGCGACTTTGGCTAGTGATACGAATCTCATTTGCATCAACGGGTGTTTCTACTCTTGGCTTTTCCACCTTCTGGTACCAATCCATCTATTATATTAATAACCACAAATCAAGTCAAAAATCCAAAGAAGAAATTACTACTAATTCAGAAGAAAGAAGACAAATTTGGATTTGTTAGGAGTGTGAAATAGAAGCTATGGTTTGAGACATGGGATCTGGAACCTGAAGTTGTGCCCTCGTCCAAATTCTAAGTGTAGAAAGAAGAGCTATTTTAATAGAATAAATGAATAAGCGGGTAAATAGTTTGGGCCGCAATGGTAGGAGTAGTAAATAGTTTGGATCTGAGCATTGTGAGCACGTGATTTTTGCTTCACGAAAACTACTCCTTAAAGGGGAAATAGTTTTAATTAATGGGTATAAAGTGAGATTTTCTCTATATTAAAAGCACGAAGGCCCGCAACGAAATGTCGTTCGCTTTTTTTACCCTTTAAAAATAACTTTTATAATGGACAGAATTATAATTTAGTTATTTTCCTAACATTTAGGACTTTAATATCAAGCAAAATTTTTGTAATTAAATCTTTCTTTATTCCCTAATATTTAGGAGTTCTAAATCAACAATAAATTTTAAATTTATATTAAATATCTTTTTCCTAATAAGAACTAAAAATTTATATACTATATTAAAAACATGAAGGTGCTTAGCGAAATGTCGTTCGCCTTTTTTAACCTTTAAAATTAGATTTCACACTAGACGCAATAGTCTTGTGATTATTTTTCTATAGGCGAAATGGCTTCCTAACCACTTAAACTTGCATTAGTTTGTAAAGCCGATGTATGAACTTTTGAGTTTCCCATTTGAACACCTTTACTTGAAAAAATGGCTATTAATAAATATTTGTGATGGTGCATATTGTTCAATTGCTGCTGACATGGATTTAATTTAATATTTTATATAGTCACATCACCCATTCATTCACATTTTATTGACACTTTTATGTTCAAGGTTCCAATTTGTGGGCCCTGTCTTTTTCCAAAATTTATTAAATTTCTATTTTTTCTGCTCTTTCCCTTCTTTTATTCTTTACCTCCTAGGCACGAACTGTAAACAAAAGCTACAATAATGGAGACTGTAAACATAAGCTCTGATAATGGAAACTGAAGTTCAATCGAATTTTACCTATTTGGGAAGAACATTCACCGATCTCAGTATTAACGCAAGTTCCTCGGCTTTGAGTGATTGCAATAGTAATAGATCCGACGAGTTTCCAACTGCTTCTTCACAAAGCTAGCAGCTATTTTTTTCTTGCACTTCTGAAAACTTCGATGAATTAATCGAGCAACTTGTCTCCGGTCTCAAGTTAGCGGCTATTTCGGAAAGATAGCAATCTGGAGAGGTTCTATCTGGAGATTGGACTATATCATCTGGAGTTGAAAGCTTGTTGGAACAGAGGTTTGCTTGTTCTTTGGGGAGATCTCTTGAGCATTATTTTCTTCAGAAATTTTTGGAACAAATGAAGGGCTGTCAACTTAAATATTATTTTATGTAGCTCTTGTGTAGGGCTTTATTATGATGAGTGATTAGTTTTCTTCTGGTTATTGGAGTTTGGTGTTGATATCTTTGAAGGAGTTATGTGAGTGCGTTGAGGGTGTGCTAAGATTCTGAGCTTTTTCCTTTGTTTGGGTTGTGTTCTATGTTTTGCTAGAAGTGGCTATGTTTCAAAATTAAAATGCTTGACTTTATTAATATGGTAGAATAAAAGGGGGAGGGGGAAAGGGGAGGTGGGAGTTTGTTAGGGAAGACGAGGGGAAAAGAGAAGGGAGAGGGAAATGTCTCTTTTTTTTTTTTTTTTTTAAAAAAAAAA